TGAAAGCATATGTGTATTGTTTGTATATTTATACACAAGCATTCATATATAGTCAAATAATAATAATAATAAAAAAAGTTTATTTACCTGTTACTACCACACACCAAATCCGGTCGTTGGTACTTGCTGGCTTGTGTACCCTCTAGGTAACAAAAGTTCAACACTGTGCCCTAGCATCCTGGAGCACTTCTGTTGTCTTTTGTACATGTTTTGAGTTTTTATGTGCTTCTGAGTTTTTACGTGTTTTGGAGTTTTTACGTGATTTGAAGTTTGTACGTGCTTTGTCTCTAGGGGCCACCGTAAATATACTTTTATTTATTCACTCCACATAAAATGTAATAAATAAATCATATAATACAAAAATCAACTATTCACATTTCAACCTCCCCCCTCTTCCCAGAGTAAAGCACAAGGCTCGCATGCTGAGTGAAGCAGAAAAAAAGTGCGAGAGAGAGAGAGAGAGAGAGAGGGTGAGCAAAGGAAGAAAAAAAAAAACCCCAAAAAACCCAACATGGCTCGCGTCGTTCACGTCAAACACCCGGCTCTAAACTAATCCTAAAGTAATAATGGTATTTCTAACCACTGATATACCACAACTTTATCCTTTCAACAGCTACTGAAAGTTAGGGGACCTAGCTGCTATTGGATATTTATATAGAGATCCTCCAGCTTCAAACTGTATGACCCTTCAAGGACCTGCAGTTCAAAGAAGCGCCCCTCCAACAGCCAAACCATCTGTTCTCTGATTGGATTGTTACAATTGTTATTGACATGACATTGACCAATCAGATAAAAGGAGTTTTCGTATTTGTAACTTGCAGGGTTTTTTGGCTAAGTCAACACAAATCTTTTTTACACACGCACAAATTCTGTTTACACATACAAATCTTTTTCTCACACACACACACACACACACACAAATTCTGTTTACACACACAAAACTGATTTACAAGTACAAAATATTCATGACCACATTTTGAGCGCATACCCTCGAGCCTCCGTGTCTACTCTGCTGCACAAGATACGCGACACAGCAGCGCCAACATGTCAAGTTTCAGCGCAAAATACTCTGAAACCTCTAAAGTGTGGTACAACTCCTCCACGCAATGGAAACTCCAAGTTTGTTTCCAGCGGCTTTTCCGTCACAGACACTGTGGACTGTGCGTTAGCTGTTA